TGTAGGTTAAATTACCTTCATTCTCAGAAAATCGTTCACAGAGATGTAAAGACTGAAAACATGCTATTGGATAAGACACGGACTGTAAAAATTGCTGACTTTGGTGTTGCTCGTATTGAGGCATCAAATCCTAATGATATGACTGGGGAGACAGGAACACTCGGATACATGGCTCCTGAGGTGAAGAGTTTACCTTCAATTTATCTCATGACTCACTGAAAACACAATCAGTAGAATCATTTTTGATAAGTGTTAAGATGTTTATTATGAAGGTGACGTGTCACTGGCAAAGGCATAGTTTCCATTTAAAAACCACCAATTTTCATAATGACCCATTTTGTGTAAATGATTGAAAGATATGGCTTTTACATAACTTGTAATTCAACTTTGCAAGATAGAGTTTGAATTTGTTTTTCTTAGTTGACTAAAAAGAAACATTGATAGGTTAAAGATCAGTGTCTCAGTATATGGTTGGGATCAGTGTCTCATTATGTGGCTGGTTACAGGTTCTCAATGGCAATCCATATAACAGGAAATGTGACGTGTACAGTTTCGGCATCTGTTTATGGGAGATATATTGTTGTGACATGCCTTATCCTGACCTTTTTCTCAGAAGTAACTTCAGCTGTGGTCCGCCAGGTCTGACAGATTCTCCTATCTCATTCATTTCTGGCAATGCCACCCAAGTTTTTGCTTAAATAAATAAAAGGAATAATCCATTGTTTAATGTTTCTCCCATGTTGCAACTGTAGAATCTAAGACCAGAGATACCAAGGTGTTGCCCAAGCTCTCTAGCAAATGTAATGAAGCGTTGCTGGGATGCTAACCCTGACAAGCGCCCTGAGATGGATGAGGTTGTCTCCTTGTTGGAGGCCATTGACATAACAAAAGGTGGTGGCATGATCCCTCCTGATCAACAAGGGGGTTGTTTTTGCTTCCGCAGGAATCGAGGCCCTTGAAGGATATGAACAATTGTGATTGTGATAGTTTGTTTCAAGGTTTTTGATGGTCCAACATCAACCTTGAAGACAAAGGAGATATATGATACTGAAAGGGGAAGAAAGATGATGTTGGATATAGGTGAGGGGCTGTCACATCCAGCTTTATCTAGGTAAAGTTATTTAGCTGCTCTATTCTTGTAATATTTTTTGGGGTGGTTTTAAGATGTGTATTTTTTCAAATTGCCTCTCATGCTAGATTGGCTTGATTACTTCATGCATAAGGTCTATATAGCTACCAGCTAATATCATTGCTAGAACTCAGTTGATTGGTACTGCTCCTTCTATTCCCTTGGTGTATCTCTTACGTTAAATATTTTACTGTTCTGATATTTTTCAAAGATCCTCTCACTGCTTGGCAATGAAACAAGATGACATCTAAAATCTCTATGTTTTTTTTTTTTCCTTTTTTTGTGAGGTAAAAATAAAATGGCATGTTTTCATAGGGAAAGGACATGGTGTGTATAGCACACTTCCAGTTGGTGGTGTTGGTGCATCAAGACACAGATAATTGACATATCGAAATTCTTTTAATTAGGTTTGGTTGAAATTATGATTGCTTAGTATGCTAGGAGACTCTGGTTACAGGTCAAGATGCTAAACCACCTCCTGTCTGCGAACTTATCACTCTGTGTTGTTTCCATGGCCAGAGAACTAATAGCTCAAGTAGTGCTTTTGATAAGAAACCATCACGGCTGTATTGGAGCTCTGTTTTTTATTTTATTTTTTTGTCAGACCAGCTCAAAAAGGGAGAGGATTTGATCATTTTTTGATGATAAAACTTGGGAAAAATCAACAGATCTATCATTAAAATTTGGAGCTTGACTCCAATCTAACATTAAACTCGGGTGAACTAGTTACGCCGTGAAACTGTAGAGCTATTAGAAAAGTTGAAGGGGGACTAGTTAATAAAACGATAATAAAAACCTGATTTTTTTACCCGTGATATGGCAAAAGAAATAAAAGCAGGGCCCCTCGTACTGCTAGTTGAAGATTAATCAGGTTTGAAATCAAAGGCTACGATAAGGAAATCAAAATATACTTTCTAATGACCTTTTGTTTCTTTTTTCAATTATGATAAAACCACAGCCATCCATCCTTGTGAGATTACATTAAACCCTCAATTAGGTTTGTTTATAGTTTGGTTTGGTTTAGATTATAAAAATCAACCAAATTGAGTAATTCAAATTTAAAAAAATATAAACTGAATTTGAGTTTAAACCAAACCATTTTTTTTATTATAAAAGTGGGAAGCCTCGTCCCATTAGATATGGGCTATGGGTTTTTTGGATTGTTTTTAAAAATTAAATTACATTAAATTATACTTTAAAAATTTTTTTATTGGGTTTGGTTTATATGTTTTATAATCAAATTGTTTAAAAATTTGTTGTTTAGTTTGTTATAAGGTTTTTTAGTCAAATTAGTAAAACAAAAAATTTCAGTTTAAGTGTCCTTTTATATATATATACACACACATACACATTCAAATGCTTCACATTTTGCTATTTGCTATCTTTAGTGCAAAGAAATTTTTGTCAGATATAAAAATCCAAATCAATTTAATATACAAGTATGATTAACTTTAGATACCTCAACTTATAAAGATGTTCATACTAGAAAAGTTAACATTAGCATACGGATACATTAGCAATCAACAATAAATTATTGTAAACATTTTACATAGCTTGAAGAAAAAAATTCAGCAACAATAGCATCGAATGATAAGATTGGTCTTCTAGTATTTCATATCTTATATAGATTATTATCAATAAATTTTAATGGAACTTTCTTTTGAAAGATAAGCAATGAGTTATATGAAATAGCCTTATAAAGAAGAGGAAAGTCCACACAATTCATCATGAACCATATCATATTCAATAGAATACAATTTTTCTATTTAAAAACTTTATTATACTGTGGTGTTTCAAGAGGTGATCATTGTCAGACAATCTTAAAAATTCTTGTTGAAGTATTCACTATCTCGATTTGATTAGAGTATGTTAATAATATTTTTAATTTGTTTTTCAACTTCATGCCTGAATTATTTGAATATTTCAAATGATTTAGGTTTTCTTCAAATACACATGACTATATCTGATATAATCATCAATGATAAAACATGTTTATCCATCTATAACATGAATTGCTATTAGTCCATATATAATTCATTAAATCTTTTACTTTTTCAGTAAATAGTGTTTTAGTCATCTTACCCAATAAACTAATTTTACTAATTTCATACGATTATAACAAAAAGGATCATATATCCTTCTTTATGTAACTTAATGATTGTTGTTTCATTGATTTGACCTAGTCTACAGTGCTATAAATAATATAAAATTTAATTATGTAGTATGTTCCATATTATTTATATTAAACCTGGGCATTTTAAGATCAGGTATATACAAATAAAATTTGTATATATACTGGATCCATAATAGACTTTACTAGTGGGGTGGCCCGCACTACACTGCAGGCTATTTTTTTAAATAATAATAATAATAATAAACTTGTTTTACCCAAATTCTTATAGTTTTTAATCCATTTAAATCAAATTTATGGTTTTTTTCAATAATAATAATTGTTTAAAATTTAATAATAATAAAAGTAATAAAAATATTAAGAATAAGAATAACACTAATAATCATAATAATAATAAGAAGAATAACAATTAATGACAATGACAACAACAATAATAATTTTTAATTTTACTCTTTTAATCAAATTTATAGTTTTTTTCAATAGTAATAATTGTTTAAAATTTAATAATAATAAAAGTAATAACAATATTAAGAATAAGAATAACACTAATAATCATAATAATAAGAAGAAGAATAACAATTAATGACGATGACAACAACAATAATAATTTTTAATTTTACTCTTTTAATCAAATTTATAGTTTTTTTCAATAGTAATCATATTTTTTAATAATTATATTAATAATAATGACAATAATAATATTTATAATATTAATAATAATATTAAACATGCCTGACCCAAGTTTTTATAGTTTTTAATTTTACTTTCAAATAAAATCTACAGTTGTTTTTCAATATTAATAATATATTTTTTTAATTTATCAATTATTATATTAGTGATATTCATTATAATAAAAATAATAATATTTTTAATATTAATAATAGTATTAAACTTGCATAACTTAAGTTTAAGTAGATTTAACTGTAACATCAGGCCCAAGAGACTTAGATATGGGTCTGGCTCCAAAACCATATCATAAAAGTGTGATGACTAAATAGACAAAAATTTAATATTAAAAAGTCATAAAAGTGTGATAACTAAATAGACAAAAATTTAATATTAAAAAAAAAAATTAAAACAATTAATTTAAAAGGAAAAAAACAAAACAAAACAAAACATTATTCCAATAAATAGTGTTTTGTGAGGAGGGGTACATACAATCCCTTAATAAGATTATGATAATATAATGAAAAGTAAATAAAACAAATCATAAAGTTCAATTCTCAATCTTAAAAAATAAAATTGAAAGAAAAAACTAATTAAGAAAAAAAATTAAATCTAAATCAATTAATTTAACTTGTTAAATCTAGAATTTATATCATGAAAAAATTTAATATTAACAAATTAAATAAAAAAAATTAATTAAAAAAACTTTAACTATAAGAGATTAGGTAATTACCGTGGATTGCATACTATAATCCACAATAAAAGCCTCATCTCCTCTCTTTATAGTTAATTATTATTTAAAAAAATAAATTTGTTTAGGTATTTTTCAGGATTATATTCTCAGGTAGGTTTTCAGAGAGAAATTGAGAATTTGATATAAACACTACATTTAGCATATCTTCTTTATTTCATCTCTTTGATTTTTTGCTTACTTGTCATTTAATCAAGCAAACTTAATTAATTATTTAAACATCGGAGCATACCTCGTTACCGCGAAACTTTCATGGAATTTGTCTTTGAAGTAAGAGAATACAAATCGAAAACTCAACAGAAACTAGCATGTAACCCACTACATTCAGGTAACTCTTACACCATCTTATTTAGTATTGCAAAAAAGAACCGAAGTACACTGGTATCTGGTAAATAATTAGTGAACAAGATACAGCGGATACAGCAATTAGCTCTTACAAAAACTGTGCTAATTGCATTAGACTCCCAAGGGAAAAAAATCATCATCAATCTGTAATGTATGTATAATGTATTTACAAGGACAAAAAGGAATAGAATGTAGGATGAATATAAATTACCGAACATGAACCGGTCGTTCACATGGAACTGCTGAAGCAGTCATTCCCGCGGAGCTTGTTTCATGAAATTTATGGAGAATTCTTATCAAAGCACGAGCCTTACCGCTACCATGAGAAGTCCCATCTGTTAGAAGTGAATATAGGGAACTCATGAGATTATGGTCCTTTGCCAAAATCGCAATCGCTTCTGCACCGCCGTTTTTGCACAAACTTAGCAGAACAGTAACGCAATACTCCCTCGCAGTTCTAGATGGCAGAGAACGCAAGATCCTTGGGATTGTAGATAAAGCCGAAGTTTGCAGGATTGCTAATGTCCCATCAACACTTTCAGCTATGATTGCTAAAACTGCTAGTGAATCTGCTATAAGTTCAATGTTGTTTGAGGATGACAACAGATCCATCAGCAATGGAACAGAACCAGATGCAAGCACCCTTTGATGATTCGCTGGGTGTTGAAGCAGCCCGAAAATTGCCACGACTCCATTCTTTTTGCCACAAGTGGTCCCATCCCTGATCAGTTCCATGAGAGCTGGAACTACTTCAGGGGTTTCTCCTATCAATTTCCCATATGACTTCACTGAAGCAAGGTAAAAAATTGTGGCGGCTGCCATTTGCTTTGCTTCCAAACTCAGCCCTCTTTTAAGAACTGCAAGAATTGGCTTCAATCCACCACTCTCAATTATCTCTTTCTTACCACATGTATGCTTCGAGAGCTTCAGCAGAGCTGAAAGAGCAGTCTCCTGTGTGTAATGGTCTAAAGACGAGGATAAAAGGTTTATGAGAGGTAAGATTGTGCCTGCTTTAATCAAACAAGATCTATTAAAAATATTTGATTTTGCAAGTAACCGAATTTCATAAGCAGCCTTTGTTTTCTGCTCACTTGAACCGGAAACCAGCCTTCTTGCAAGAAACCCTGAAAGAAAGTTCATTGCCTCTGCTGCAGCAGGACTACCTGGAGAGATAGTCCTGGCTACGTCTCGACTTCGGCTTCCTGATTTGGACGCACACATGCCTACCTCGGCGCAGAACTGCTGGATCAGCTTTCGAAGAGTGGTGTTGGGAACTAACTCTGTGCTTGTAAGCCTCTCACCTGTTTTGGGACAGGTCATATTTCCAGCTTTGAGCCATCTTTCAATCGAAGACCGATCATAAGTCTGCCCAGTCGATACAGTTACTGGATCAGTCATCAGCTCAAGTGAAATCGGGCATCGAAAATCTTCACGATTTATGCAACTAAGGGCCTCGATGCTGTGTCTGGCATCGCTTTGATCATTGTTGCGAGTATTCCATGTCTCAAAAATCACTCCCCTGCAGTAGCTCATTAACCCCAACAAGCTGCTTAGAAATGGAACCTCTCTTTCATCACAATCGGAGCACTGAAAACCAATTTGTTCTTCCAAAAACTTGATTTCCTTGTTACAATCATTCCAGTTCCTAATCTCAAGATTGTCAAGAACCCGTTTCATTAAGCTGGAATCAGGCTCAACTCCCACTTGAAAATGATCCAATACCGAAAACACTTGTTTCGAGGCCCATTCATCTACAGGGTCTGGCTCAAATTTACCCTTACGTGCTTGCTTTGCTATTAATCCAACCAACTCCTTCACTTCATCACCGACATCAATCAAATTCAATGGCAAAACATCAAGAGCTGTCGCAATTGCTCGAATTGGTGCTCGAAAATGCGTAGCAACTAGTTGACACTTCATTAGAATCCATAACCTTGCACCTTCACGCGTACAATCTTCCAACAAAAACTGGACTTTCTGACAGGCATGGTGGAGCTCAGAGAAGCAAAGAAGGGCCGAATCAGAAAGAACCAATCCACGGTCCCTTATTTCCTCGAAAAATAGAAGAAGAAGACCGATTTGTCGAATGGTTTCACGGGCATTTTTCCTTTGTGAAGCAAACAACTTTGATTGGTAATTGCATATGTTTTGAGAGAGATCGATCAAAGAACTGAGAAGGGTTTCCGGGGAGATTCCTTCACAGGGATGAACCGCCGGGAATGTGAGAATCCGGCGATCAGTTTGGTCAAACTTTAGAATCATTTCAAGTGAAAAACAGAGGACCCTCTGTCTTTACTCTGGTTTTGTTCTGTACTGTTTCGCTTCGGGTGTAGTGTGATTTTCTTTGGGTTGAAAGTGGGAGGATTCGGTGTGTCCATATATATAGGAGGGTGGAGTAACCAAGAACATCATCCTGGACACGTGGTGAAAAAGAAAGGGTCTAAGGCACTTGAGTTGACGGCTAGATTTGACATTAAGAACGCGAGAACACGTGGATAGATGGCGTTGGGCAAGTGCCTCTTTCTTGATCCCTGTTATTTATTTGGATAGGGTTGTTGATGTACGGACTTGCTGGAGTGAGGGGATGCAAGTGGGTCCTACCAGCCGACTCCTTGAAACGTGGCCCAATGATCGGACGACGTGTTGCTTCGAGAACGGGGAGTCAGATTATTCAAAACAATGTAGCATGCAGGTGAGATGGCTTGAGATATTATTATTATGACTTATTTTTTAAGGAAAAATGCTGTCCTCTCGGAAGCAGGAAGGAGACTTCTTCATATTGACCGTTGGAGTCGAATAGATTATTCGGAGCTCAATCTAAGAAAAGAATAGTGTCTTTGATGTCATTGTTGAAAAACAGTTAGTTCATTTCGAGAGACTACTTCTTATTAAGACCGTCGGAGTTGAATAGATTTTTCGGAGCCAAATCTAAGAAAAGAATAATGATAATTCTAAGATAAGAAATAAATAAATATTTAAAAATATAGATGTGATTATATTTTTTATTTATAAATCTATTAACAAAATACTTTTTTGTATTTAAAAAAATATTTTAACATTAACGTATCAAAACGATTTAAAAATAAAAAAATTAATTTTAAATAAAAAATATTTTCAGTTTTTTTAAAAATATGGTTTTAACTATATTTCCAAATATTATTTAAATTATATTGTCAACATATTCATTCGAATATATTTACCAACTTAAAAATTAAACAACAAAAAATTAAATCTCCATGGGTATGAGTCGGCAAATAATATGTTGATATTTTGACTAGAAAAAAAAACCATAAAGTTAGTACATATTATGAATCCATTTTGGAATAAATATTGTGGATAATTTAGAGTTTTATGAACTCAAGCACTATGAAGAAGAATTTTCTACGAATCAATAATTTGAAGCTGTGGAGTATATACAAACATGCAAGGGTGGTTAACTACAGTTACCCAGGAAGGTTGACACCACTCACTCCATTGTTGTGATTATTATATTAATTATAATTATAATAAGTTTCCTTTATTCTATGCCAGCACAATGCTTCAATTTCTTCTGATTGATGTTGGAAACCTTGTTCATACGATTTTGATATATATTTAGTAGCAATGAGAGGCCTGTTTGGTTTAAAATAATTAATTATTATGACCAAACAATTGTTATTTGAGTGATCTAATAAAAAAAAGTAAATATTGTGTGGGACATCTTCTTGAACTTAAGATAAAAAAGTTCAAACTATAAAAAGATTTTGATATTTAGTTTTAAAATAACTAAAAATTATAACTAGTTTATAGAGATTCTAAATAAAAAATTAATTATATTTAAGAAAAGTTGAAAATCATCTTAAAACATCATTGCTATGATAAATTGTTTTGTGTTTGATTTAATAATAAAAATATAATTATTATATTTACATGCTAATAATTTATCTAAATTTGTGCTTGTATTGTGAAAGGTAAAGGATACTAAGACTTAAGATAGTAATTTGGAATCTAGACTTAACAATAAGACATAATCCTCACCTTTTACGTATAGGCTTTGGATCCAAGAAGAAGGCTATTGTCAATTGTGCTATGGTCCATTTTCTCCCATATACGTTTGAAATGGGAATCGAAGGCCACCTCTCGCTTTTAATAGGTTTATGTGGAATTCGTGTTGATCCAACTCAAATATATTTATCGATTCAAAAGGCAAAACATGAAAATAGGATCATGGATTAAAATCATCTCACTTACCTTTAATTCATCATCTGAAAAAAATCTAATTATAATTTATAATTTATTAGCTAATTTTGAGTTACAAGAAAAATACAAATCAACAAAAAAAGGCATGGATGCAAAAATACATAGAAATTTGTTTTACCATTAAGGCAATGTTTGAGGAAAAACATAATTATAATTTACAATTTCTGATCTAATTTTGAGTTACAAGAAAAACATGAAGCATCAAAAACAAGAAATATAAAAATATACACTACATCAACATTTTCAATACAAAATTGCATTACCCTTAATACTAAAATACTAAATATGAGGATAAATCTAAATAGGATTTATAATAACTTAGCCAATTTTAGGCTAAGAAAAATATAATTCAATGTCATGTCAAATAAAAAACAACAAGAAAAATTTACTCATTTATCAAACAAACAAAGATTTGTCACAATTCAAAAATCAGTGACACGTTAAAAATAATTCAAAATAAATAATACAATGTGTTAGAGGTTTGGAAATGATTTTTGGAATCATAATATAAATTTTAATAAACATGTTCATATAGTCCAATTATTGAAATGAAATTAATGGGAACTTCAAAGTATTTTCATTAAATTAAATAGGCATTTAGATGTCATTTAAGTTATAGAAGATAATTTGAACGTTTTTGCTAGCAAATGATGAAATGTGTGTTTGTTTGGATTGCGAAAAAAGAACATTTAACCTAAAGCTTTGACTACTTTGAAAAATAAATGGCTGAGATGAACTCTCTAATAATGAAAAGCTAATTTAAGAAGGTGAATTTTTTTTGCTTTATGATTTGTTGATCTTGTCCACTGATTAGTGAGAATCCAAGAATGATATCCATGCATAAATAAGTCATGAATTTTACTTAACAATACTTTTTTTTTTTTAGCTAAAAGCTTATCAAAATAAGCAAACTATTTTGATTAGAAATGTATTGCAAAAGCATGTAATGTATTTAGGGTTTTTGTTCAATAAAGAATAAGATATAAAGATGTAAAGACATAGAATCACTTAATATATATTGAGATCTTTTAAACTTGTCTTCTTAATTTTTATATTTCAGTGATTGATCTCATTATAATTTCAATTCTTTGTTATTGACCTGCTATCTTCAATTCTCGACTTTATACAATCATCAGAAATACTTTGAAGAGCTCTTTTTTTTTCTCACTTGTTAATCATTTTCTTACTCTATTTTTGTAACACTTTTCATCTCTTTTCTATTCTTTCTTCTTCTTTTTCTTTTCATTTAAAAAATTTCATCAATTATTCAAATACTTTTAAAATGCACCTTTAGTGTGAGGGATGATTCTAATCTGAGTTATTATTTAAAAAAAATATTTAAGACTCAAAAGGATGATAAATGATAAATTTTCACTTATGAATGATATATCAAAGATGACATTTTTTTATCTCCAATTTAGATATGCTTATATTGATAAATTATAGCTTTGTTTAGAATCTTAGAGGAGAAGCAAGGGAGTCATGACCTGAATACATGCTATTCATCATCATTTATGTTATTGAATCATTTAGTTTCATTTTAGGCATTTTTCATGTAAGATTTTTCTTTTAAAGGTTTGTTAGATGTGTAAAATGTAATGTTAGGGGTAAAAAAGAAGGGTGGAAACAACACCTCACCTTTTTATGGTTTATCAAGGGAGGAAAAGGAAATTTTGAGTTTTAAGAGAAGGTATTGCCTCATGTTATTCGAATGATGTGTCTCAGAATTTGACTAATTTTAAAAAAGATTTAAATAAATTTTTCATTATATTTATCAAATGCTAAATTTTATTTTTTGATAAACATATTTATATTTTAAAATAATAATAGAACAATCTTCTAATTTCAAGCTTTGCACAAACTTCTGAAAATATAATTATCACTAACCCTTAGTCCTTAAGTGGAATTTTGGTAAGTTTTCTAATTACCACCTTATCAATTTTTCTAAACTATTTTTGTCTTATCCAATGTCTCTTCTATGTGTTTTGTAATTTAGAAGAAAATCATGGTGAGCTTTCTAAAAAATATTGAAGACCTCATTTTCTATTAAAGTGCAAACTTTAAATGTATTAGATAAACAACTTTTTTATTCATAAAGTTACTAAGCCTAAAGTAATTTTTTGTTGACTGAAGTTTATGTTTTTTCTTTCTTTCTCTTTCTTTTTTAGGAAAGAATTCATTAAGTTTAAATCAACAAAGTTAATTTTTCTTCTTCTTACATGCATTTCAAGAAAATAAAAAAAACTGCATCTAGCAAAGTAACTTTCAAGAACAAAAGGAAGACAAGGGAGATAAGTGAAGAAGCTATTAGAAAAAAAGTTTTAAGCATTGAAGAAATGTTTAAGGTAGGAAATATTGATTAAGGTATCAAAGAGGTTGTCATGGAAGATATTAAACTAGTTAAAAAAAAAAATTAAAAGAGAAATCAAAATTTAAAGAAAAAATTAAAGGTAATTTCAAGTTTAACAGCAAAAGCAGTGAATGTGAGAAGATTAGTGAGTCTGAAATAGAATAAAAGGCATGAAAATATCTTCTAGTTCTTTTAATAAAGAGGAGAAAGAAGACACCATTGAGATAATTCTACATCTTAAGGTATTGATTAGTTCTTAGTTAGTTTTGGTTTTAAAACTATTGTGACATTATGGCACATATTACTTAACCATTTATTCCTTTTAATCAATAGGATGTTATTACAGCCCATGATAAACATGGGCTTGCTATAAACTTGAATAAGAAAGAAAGGGTAAACTTAAAAAAGTGGAATCTAGCTACACTACATGCTATTAATCCCAATTCTTGTTAATATGTTCACATTTTCATGTTATCATTATTGACACTAAGCTTATTTTATCTATTTTTGAGATTTTGTTTTTAGTTTTAGGTAATAACAATGAAAAAAAAAACTATAACAATCCCTAATATTACAGTGCTAATAACTAACATAAGGGTTATGACAATTGAAAAAAACAGCAAAAAATATCAATTAATTTTTTTACAGCACAACGGTTGGAACAAGCTCGCTCAAATCTAAGGCCAAGGTATCAATTCTTATTTAAGTTAGCCTTTTCATTCAGTAGAGGTTGTACCTTCCTTCCTTTCTAGTTTTCTTATATATTTTTATGTGTTGAGAGTTTTGATGTGTTAAGAAGATTGATGATGGTGACCTAGAGTCATGTTAGCTGTTCATCAGTTGCAAGTTCATCTTAAATATAGATAGTGTACAACACAAAGTTTAAGATTTTCATACTACAACTTGAAAGGTATGAAAAAATAGGTTAATTTTTATTTTTGAAATACTTTAGACGCTCTAGTAAGATCATACCATCCTTGATTTAGAAGCTATAGCAGACTTGAAAGATGCCATCACAAGATATACTAAAAAGACTAAAGTGCTTTCCATCAAGAATAAACTAGCTCATACTCAGTTAGTTCATTAAGAAATCATGACTTGAATAGAAGATCCATGAATATTTGGCAAAGAAGACAAACTAGAAAAAGCTCACCTCACCTTAAAGAATGAATGAATTGTCCATTATTGAAAGTGAAATTTGAAAACTTTAAAAAAACGCAAGAGAAGTGAAGGATGTTATCAAGGGAAATCAGGAAGCCTATGTTGTAATCAAATGACAGGACGACTCACCTCGTCGT